TAAGGGCAGAGGGTGTGGGTGGGAACCGGGTGGAGGGGAGCTATGGGGGGAAAAAAGAGGAACAACTGTAATAATCTGAACAATAAAGTTTTAATAAAAACAAACAAACAAAAAAAACCATAATTCCTAAATACCATTGTCTAGGAATCAATAAAAATGTTGACAAAGGAAAAAAAAAAAAGAAAAAAGCTGGTTAATATCAATGGCGATCCTGTGCTTTCTGTTTGTTCTGTGCATGGACCAGTGCTAAAGGGTCACTGGATGGTTCTCCACACTGGTCCTAATTCTCCCTCCTGGCCCCATGTCGGGTTGGCCATGCACACCCAGTAGATGAGCCCAGAAGTCCAGGAGTAATGCTCCATGGGGCCCCAGACACTTTCTTGTATTAGTTGTCAGCTAGCTTTGACATGGCAAGGGACACCACTCTCCTGGGATGTCCAGTTCCTCATTACTAGTGGGGACTTAGGAGACTACAAGTCTTGCCCCTCAGCTTACCCCCACATGCATCCATCCTCATCCTTCATAAGGATCCTGGATCTTCCAACTCCTTCACAAAGACCAGTGTCCTTCACAAACGTTCCCAATCCACAATCTATATCTCCTGTCATTGGAGCCTTTCCCAGTTCCCCACCTTCCCACAGTCTGGGATTCTCAGAATTGACCCTATGCTTAATCCATCCTTGAGAGTTGAGATGGGACCTCCATAGGGATACCAGATGTCTGGAAGAGAAGAAGGGGCTCACCTGGGGGTGGAGAAGGAGAATGTATTGATGTAGAGGAAGGTGCCTCTACAACGCCTCACTGGAGATTGCCTATGCACTTGTCCATTGTGGTGTTGCACTGACTTAGAAAGAAATATACAGATAACCCAAGTACAGAAACACACAGGTACAGAACACTCCCAGTCTGTGCTGGGCACTCAGGTGCTGGGCTTATGTCCAGGTTTACATAGACCCACACTATAGACATGGGCAATAACCTGAGGAAAACACACACACACACACACACACACACACACACACACACACACAATTGGTGCCACCCAGACAGTGCCACAAGACACACACAATGGACACTCCCCATATGCTGGCAGGAAACACCATCACCAATCGTGTTCCAACACCCCACCTCTCTGCCCCCTCAACCTCGCATCCCACAGTATATTGTCCCTCAGAGTCCAGGCTACATCACCTCATTTCAGGAGCAAGGGTCTGCTCGGCACAGGCCAAACTTATGGAGGGGGGAGACCACCTGTAACGCATGCCCCCAATGTGGTATCATGTTGAGACCAAGCCTCTCCTTCTGGAAATGCTTGTACTGCAGAATGGTCTCACCATTGAAAACACACAGCACCATTTCCTGGAGAATCCATGCGACCTCCACAACTGGTTGGGTGGTGTTATTTTTAATGAAATGAAAATGGGAAATTACCCAGGAATGCAAAAGTAGAGATTCCAACAATGCCCATGGGGCTCAAGGGAGTGTGTGGGCTGCTCAGAGGTAGGTGAACTGATTTGAGGGCCTCAAGTATCAGGAGCTGCTTCAGAACACCTGGGAGGGATCTGCGCTCCTCAACTACCTGAATCCAAAATAGCTGTCTCAACCTCTGGCTGGAAGATGCTGAGACCACAAGGCCCATGTCTAGGCCCAGATCTTTTCCCAGCCCCTTAGAGTTTAATCTCAGGGAACACAAATATCATAATTACCTGTGGGTGATTGTGCAGCTCAGGCCCGGTTCCCCACCCTCCACACTGACAGCAGGGGCCCCTCCCCTCCTGTTCTCTCCCTCACTGTGTGCTCTGCGCTCATGAGAACCCTTATGGCTGGTTCACCACAGGGTCCCTGCCTGGTCTGTGATGGTGTTCACATGTGTTCTCATTTGGTAAAAAAAACCCACACAAATATATTGATTAGACTTGCAGTGGTTCTCAACCTTCCTAATGCCGTGACCCTTTAATACAGTTCCTCATGTTGTGGTGACCCCCAACCGTAAAATTATTTTCATTGCTACTTCGTAACTGTAATTTTGCTGCTGGTATGAATCGTAATGTAAATATCTGATATGCAGGATGTATTTTCATTGTTCACGACCCACAGGTTGAGAACCGCTGGATTAGAGAGCGATAGTATGGGGGGGGGGGGGGCGGTGGAGAAACTCTCATTTGTTGTTCCACTAATTTTATACATTCATTGTTTGATTCTTGCATGGGCCCTGAATGGGGATGGAACCTGCAACCTTGGCATTATTGAGATGCTTTAATCAACTGAGCTCTCTGGCCAGGGCCAAATTTATCAGGAGTTTTAAGTAAAATAAGTCAGTAATGTATCTGCGAATAGATAGATACCAGAAACACCATGACGACAGATAGTGATAGAAGGCTAGAATTCATGAAGTTTTATAAGTGTTTTCTGGATATATTTGAAATAAGCTAACTCAAAGGTAGATTATGTCCTTGCAGCAGGAATTTCATATGCCAATTAGGAAGTATTGAAAAGGGGAGGAGTATTTTGTTTCAGGGAGATGGGCATGTATGGAAAGATAAAAGCGCATGTTAAAAAGTGTGTTTTAGCCTGGTCAATATTACTCAGTGGTTGAGTACAAACTATGAACCAAGAAGTCAAGGTTAGATTCCAGTCAGGGCACAAGCCAGGATTGCAGGCTTTATACAGAGTGTGGGGCATGCAGGAGGCAGCTGATCAATGATTCTAACTCATCATTGATGTTTCTAGCTCTCTCTCCCTTCTCTGAAAATTAAGATGGCAAGTCTATATAGATATGACCATCTCTCTCATTTCCTGGGAGAATCATTGTTGCCTCTGTGGCAGCAAATATTGTCCAGAAGTGAAGACTACTGCCATCAGAATGATCAGGAATGCTGAATTGTCACAAGACACACAACCTGGGACTAATTATATGATTATCCTCCCTCTAGCTTTGAGTTCCTGCCTGTTGTGATAGCCTTGAGGTGAACACCATAGAGGGGCCCAGGGAAACCCCAAACCATGAGATTCTTTTCACAACAAATCACTTCAGCTACAAAAAGAACACACAAGCTTCAGGACTGGGTCATTTGTGGATAATGTTTAGAAGAGGCAATTTTCACCCAATATACTGCCGTCTCTTCCACTCACTATGAAAATAGTGTTTATCCCAATATTAGTTGCACTTCACAGTGTTACAACAAATGAAACCAGCCTGTGAAATTTCACACATCATGGCATAGGGCTCCTTTGCAGTATGTAAGACATACTATGAACAGAGAATATAATTCATATTGTTCACAGAAGCACAACAAAGGACTCTTCTGGGTGATCATTGACCTCACCAATAATACAGGCACCGGGCTAAAAAATTAGAACCAAAAAGTCATGCAGATTTTTGTTAAAGGGCTTGGTCAGCAATACAAAATAAACCAATATTGGCCAAAGAGTAATTTTTTGCCATTATGATGTGCCTTCCAAAGCACAGAAAGTTTGAGACTCCACCTTATCTGTTTACCTCTGGGTGTGACAGATCACAACTATCCTTTCAAATCATCCCAGGCAGTGAATATTACCCAAAAATTAAAGGTCAAAAAGCAAAAAACACCTTTACTAAAAGATCATAAACCAGAACAGAGGACAGCAAGCAGTTTGTAGGTTGGTGAGTAAGAACATAAAACAACTCATCAGAGGATAATGTTAGAACAATGATAGAAGTACAAAAAAGGGCTCCTCTTCTGGGGGACCACTGACCTCATCAACATTAGAGGCACAACGTTATGCAAACTTTATTTCGTGCATTGGTCAGTGGTATAAAATAAGCCATTATTGGACAAAGAGTGATTTTTCTGACATTATTATATGCTTTCCAAAGAACAGAAAATTTCGGACCCCACCATATCTTTTCACCTCATCATGATGATAGATTATAATTTTTATAACAAATCATCCAGAGAGTGAAATTAAAAAAAATAAAATAAAGCTACGAAAGAAAAAACCATCTTTACTAACCAGATCATAAACCAGAACAGAGGACAGTAAGAAATTTGCAGGTTGGTAAATTAGAAAGTAAAACAATTCATAAAAGCATAATGTGAGAACCACAATGTCTCTGAAAGTGGTAGCACTCCTTAGCTGAGGATGGGTGCTCTGGAAAAACCCTGGGTCAGATGCATTCTCTAGTCAGACAGAAGGAAGATCCTGTCAAGAGCTTGAAGTAATCTTAATTTTCTCAAGCACAAGTGAGAACACAGAATACATTTCCCCTGAGCACACAGGGGTTGGGACTGATGCACACTCTTCAGGTGAGCCAGGTGGTAGAGGTGAAATCTCTTCAGCCACAAATCAATCGGGTAGTAAATCTGGGCATGTTACCAAGTGCAATGCACCTCCTTCAAGACTCCATTGTACTAGAAATGTATGAGGAATTTAGCAGAGTGTATGTTCCATTAAAAGGGGTTAAATTCAGGAAAACAGGTCCCAAAGAGTCTCCTTCAGTGTTGTTATTGTAAGTAAATAAAATAAAACATCCTGCACATTTAACACTTCTCTCCACTGTGAACTCTCAGATGTTTCATAAGAGTAGATTTTTGGCTAAAAGCCTTCCCACATTCAGTACACTGATACGGCTTCTCTCCAGTGTGAACTCTGAGGTGTACAATGAGGTGATCCCTTCGTCGAAAGGACATCACACATTCTCTACACTTGTATGGCTTCTCTCCAGTGTGAACTCTCAGATGTTGCATAACGTAAGATTTTTGGCTAAAAGACTTCCCACATTGTCTGCATGCATATGGCTTTTCTCCTGTATGAACTCTGTCTTGTTGTTCAAGGAAAGACTTATTACTAGAGGACTTCCCACAATGTCTAACCTCATATGGTTTCTCTCTAGTGTGAACTCTCTGGTGTTTAATGAGTACAGGTCTTTGTGTGAAGCACTTCCCACATTCACAACACTCATATGGCTTTTCTCCAGTGTGAACTCTCAGATGTTTAATAAGGTTAGCTTTTTGGCTACAAGACTTCCCACATTCAGTACACTCATATGGCTTCTCTCCAGTGTGAACTTTCAGATGTATAGTAAGGCTAGATTTTTGGCTAAAAGACTTCCCACATTCAGCACACTGATATGGCTTCTCTCCACTGTGAACTCTCAGATGGTTAATAAGGTTAGATTTTCGGCTAAAAGACTTCGCACATTCAGTACACTCATATGGCCTCTCTCCAGTGTGAACTCTCTGGTGGTTAATGAGTGTACTACTTTTACTGAAGGACTTCCCACATTCATTACACTCATATGGCCTTTCTCCAGTGTGAACTCTCTGGTGGTTAATGAATGTACTTCTTTCCCTGAAGAACTTCCCACATTCATTACACTCATATGGCCTCTCTCCAGTGTGAACTTTCTGGTGGTTAATGAGTGTACTTCTTTCCCTGAAGAACTTCCCACATTCTCTACACTCATACAGCTGTTCTCCAGGGTGAACTCTCTTATATCGAATGAGGTTAAAGATTCGTCTAAACACTTTCCTACATTTGTTACATTCATAAATCACTTCTCCAGAAAATGCACCCTGACACTGAACAACTTTCAGGTCGTGGATGGCAGCATCTTCACATTCACCCCACCGGTGATGACTTTTTCCATCAAGAAATTCCTGTGAAATCTCACTGCCACAGTGTAGCTCCTCAGTGTTGAGAGTGGCCTGGTGCTGGGGAAGCTCTGAGTTGTATTGCGAGTCTTCCCCAACCTCCCTGCTGGCTGAAGGCACCAAAGATAAGGAGAAGCTGCACCTGCTCACAAAGGAGGCCCTGCCTATAGCTTCTTTCCAGGGCTCCTCTCCACATTCATTCCTCTGTTGCTGGTGAGGGTTTGCACTGAAACAGACGTCTCCAACACATGCGTCACTACAGAAGGCTTTCTGCTCAAAGTGTGCTGCATGCGACCCAGTCAGGTGCAAAATATGTTGTAACACAGAGAAACACTGCTTACACAGAAGGGTCTTCTGGGTGGCTGTAGCTGTCTTAGCAGCCCCAACCTGTGACTCTCCTTGTATAGATACACTCTGATCAGAACAGGCCTCCTCATCATCCATTTTATGCCAACAACCTGAGAAGTAAGAAATGGTGAGGAAATGACTGTTGATTGTGTGACAGGGGGAAGTCCCATTGCAAAAGTGTGTTACACATCACATGTTGGTTCCATGCAATTGTCTGAAAATAAGAGATGTGCAGGAAGGGTTAATAAGAGGCTCCTGTGACTTTCTGGGCTAATGAAGATCACAACACAGGGAGGCCTCACCAGAAATATGACACAAACATGGCAAGCACCACATGGATTAGAACAGTTATGGCGAACCTTTTGAGCTCAGCATGTCAGCATTTTGAAAAACCCTAACTTAACTCTGGTGCCATGTCACATACAGAAATTTTTTGATATTTGCAACCATAGTAAAACAAAGATTTATATTTTTGATATTTATTTTATATATTGAAATGCCATTTAACAAAGAAAATCAACCAAAAAAATGAGTTCGTGTGTCACCTCTGACACGCGTGTCATAGGTTCGCCATCACTGGATTAGAATATGGTTCTCCAGCTCATCCTTCAACTAACAGCATTCAGCAGGGCTTATCTGCTGGGGAGCGGGGCGAGCTGTGCAAGAGGTCGGTTCCATCTTACTCCAAGTAAAATTTAATAAAGGAGTAGCTGGTTTCAAGGACTACTTAGCACATATGTGCAACTCATAACACATGTGCAAGTCAATGTTGTAGAATACTGCAGAGGCACCAGTGCAGAAGAACAGGTGATACAGAAGGGAGCAGTCTGCACTGGGCCAGAGCAACACAGCTTGCTATAGTATTAAGGGATTAAAATATTACAAACAGTTGAATAAGGGTCTTACACAAGAGCCCATGGTTCATGTAGGTAAAGACCATAACACGGAACAGGCTGCCACCTAGAGAAAGAGGGAAGAAGTTGAAGCCACGCATGTGGACACTGTCAGCCTCGCATGAAGAGTAAGTGCAAGCTGGGACCCATTAAGCTCATGAAAGACTCCTGACTCCCTAACAATTCCTGTACTTTTTGAGGTAACAGGTGTTAGGGATGTTCATGGAGTCCTTTGCTCAGGGCTCCCCATCTATTTCATCCATGGAAGCCACAGCACATTTGACAGGACAGTGGGGGAAATTAGCAGAGGCAATGTTCTGGCTGTGGGAGAGAGAAAGCTAAGGCTGAGAGGAATAAAGGAAGAGAGGTCATCACCTGAGGACACTGGCAGAATGTGAAGGTCTTACCTACAGATGATACAAATGCAAACACTTCCAGCATCACATTGTAGTACAGAAGTTTCTGAGCCTCATCAAGGAGTCCCCACTCCTCTGGAGAGAAGGCAATGACTACGTCCTCAAAGTTCACATCCTGTCATAATGTGGACAGTACAGTCATGATCAGATTCAATCCTAAGATTATAAGTCTGTCATATTCCCCACCCTCCTCACCCATCTGCTCTTTCCACTCTTCACATGCGAGAAAATACCAGGCCTTCATCCCATGAAAGGCACTGTCTTCTTATATTCCTGCTGATATTTTTCTTCCCACAACAATTAAGGCAGTTGAGCAGATAGAAGATACCTGAGCTCTGGACCCCCCATGTATGCCATACTGCCTGTTATCAATAGATTGGGTGTCAAACACATAGGTTAGAGAGGGATGTTGGCCATAAAGAGAGTGTGAGTGATTTGATACTGATCTTCTCAGGAAATAGCTTTATAGTCCCTCCGATTGTTCCTCTAAGACACCAAAAACATGGCATCACACTTCATCAGCTTGACCCAATCCCAAGGTGGTGAGGCCATCACTTTTCAAAATATGCTGCACATAGTTCTCTGAACAACACTTCTCTCACACAGGTTCATTCCCAGAGCACAACTTCAAAGATAATTCAAATTTGCCATGGTGTGGATAAATTTTTTCCTAATCAACTTCTTTTCCAAAAATATAGGTCACCACCTCCATAATCTAGTTCTCTCTTACCCTTCTTCCTTATCCATGCCAGGGGAGATTTACAAGCCTGGGTAACACTGATGAATGCTATCTCATTCCCATCAATCAATGTGTCACTCCCAACAAAAGGCAGGTGGTTAGTTAAATGGCACCTAACCTCTTAACCTAGAATGTAGCACCCAAACACCTATCTTTACAGGCAATTCACCTTATTGTTACATCCAGGCACCACCAGAAATAGACTCTTCCTTCATTCACTCTTATGTCAATGTCAGGGTGCTGTGGCCATGAATTCACTTCCCTCTCCAAGTGCACATCACTCTTTCTACCACACCTCACTCACACCTGCACTTCCACAGCCCCAGCTCCCATGTTCATCTCCTGGCCTTTTACTTATTACTCAGCATGTGTTGTCCAGAGGACGGTTGCCAAATTGAATCATGATCAAGTACTACCCAGACTCTGATAGTCCAAACTCATAGAGGCAGCCTTGAGTCCTGCTATATAGGCCTCTCTCCATGACTGTTTTTTTTTCTCCTTCAACCACAACTATTAAGAAAAACAATCAGATCTCAGATATCCATAGCCCACCTCCTGTTATGCTGACTTGATGTCCCTTCACTAGTAGCAGTCAACATCTCTCTTAACCTTCACTCAAGTCCCAGCCCCGATGGCCCTCTGCACCATGCCCAGTGAGTCTCACAGAGGACCACTCAAGCCCTTAGCTAATCCACAAGACTGACTGCAACTCCCCACAGTCAGGTCACAAGGGTCACAACAAAATCCTGGTGAGAGTTTAGAAAAGTTGATATGTACCAGCCCTAGTCTCATGTTGTTTGAGTTACTCTTCGGTCTCCAATTAACCTCAGGTCCACTCATCTTTTGAAGGTATTAGCCACTGCAAAACGATTATCTCTCCTCCACACTCTACATGACAACTTCTGTCCCTATGCTGTGTTGTGACACCCACCTCCCACAAACAGTGGCCCCAGCAAAAAAGCCAGTCCTCAGGCTCACACTGTCCCTTCTGAGCTACTACTACCATTACCAACCTGACCATGATTCCCTGTATTAAAGTGATCTACGGTCTTGGCTGATGTGTCTCAGTTAGTTGTGCATAGTCTCATGCACTGGTGAGGTCACATGCCTGGGCTGTTGGCTGGATCCATAGGAGTGATTGTGCAGGTGGCAACTGATCCTCGTTTCTTGCTCATCCCTGTTCCTCTCTCTCTCCCTCTCCCTTCCTTTCTACATCTAATATCAATAAAAATATATATGTATTTTAAGAAACATACCTCCTAACCGGTTTGGCTCAGTGGATAGAGCGTAGGCCTGCGGACTGAAGGGTCCCAGGTTCGATTCCAATCAAGGGCATGTACCTTGGTTACGGGCACATCCTCAGTAGTGGGTGTGCAGGAGGCAGCTGATCGATGTTTCTCTCTCATCGATGTTTCTAACTCTATCCCTCTCCCTTCCTCTCTGTAAAAAAATCAATAAAATATATTAAAAAAAAAAAAGAAAGAAACATACCTGCAGGTTTCTGATTCAGCTTGCTTTTTACTCCAAGCCTTTGCACATTCTGGAACCTATGTCTGGAGGACCTTTCACTCATTACACTGGTTGCCACAAACAAGTTCCACTTCATGAAGCCCTACTCCTGACCTTAGGAGTCTGGGCTGAGTGTCTGTTCAAAGTCCCCAGGTCCATGGGATACAAGAGCAGCTGTATCCCAGGACTCTACTCTCTCAGAGGTCACAAGGGGGTGAGGCCCTGAAATAAGCTCCACAAATCCATACACCTAATTCATTCTGCATTTGCAAAAATTTGTGGAAAGAAAATGGTCTGTTGTCAGCCTGGCACCCACCAGGCTCTATGGGCTCAGGCTGCTCAGTACCCTTGCCCAGCCCAGAGGCCAGGTGCCCTCCAGATGCCTGTGTTATCTCAGGGCTCAGTCCTCAGGGCTCACTCTGCCAGTTCCCTTATCATTTACAGGACTTCCCCTTCCTGTCCACAGCTGCTGTCCTCTGTCCTCCAGTCTGTCTTTCCTCTGAGCAATGTTAGGAAAAGTTAGAATCCTCCCTCAGAAAATGTCCCTCTTTTTTTCACAACCATCTATGGCTCCAGCGTCCTGAGAGTGAAAGGAAAACTCCTCCTGTAAACCCACACCTCATCTCTCTGTTGCCTTTACACCCACAACAGGCCCGGGTTCCCGAATCCTCCCAGCTCAGTCGCACCATCACGTCCTCACAAGGCGGCCCTGCAGCCTTTCACCCTCTTCCCCCATCAGCCATGTGTCACCCACGAGGGACTCACCATTCTGAGCGCGGGGACCTGGGCGGCGGGACCTGAGAGGCGCCGGTCCCCAAGGCTGGAGGGTGAAATGGGGTCAGGCTGCGGGGACGCTGTGAGCAGAGAGGAGTCCGGGAGGCACGGGGACGCCAATCTCGGGCTGTTGGGCTCAAGGAGCCTCAGACACACCCCGCACAGCAGGCGCGCTGCCTTCCAGGCCGCCTCCTCCTCACGACCAGCGTCCTGAAGCCTGTGAGTCTGTGAACAAAGACCTAAAAAGTTAAAATGTCCACCACGAGGAGGAAGGCGGAAGTCCCGCCCTAACCAGATGCGCAGACACCAAAATGTCTTTTAGCACCGCCCACATGCGAGTAGTGCCTTCTGGGTAATGTAGTTTTCTCAACCGCCTAGTGTAGTACTAGCATCCCAGCCAATGACTTAGGTGAATAAAGGTGTTGTGGCAGAGAGAGTGATGCCTGGGGAGGGAGTAGATGGGACCAGAAGCCTGGCTAATTGGAGCCGACTAACAGATCTCTGAGGGGAAGAAGGTGGGAGGAATGCAAGAGATCCACCAAAGAATATATACAGAGGGGGGAAATGGGAGACATTGATAATACTATCACCAATGAAAAATATATGTATTTTCATAAATTTTAAAATAATGTCGCCAAGCTGGTGTTGCTCAGCGGTTGAGCCTAGACATATGAATCAGGAGGTCATGGTTCTTTTTATTTTATTTTTATTTTTAAAATTATTTGTTTAAAGTATTACATATAGTATGACATATAACTCCTTTTTGCCCCATTGAGCTCTGCCCAGCCACTCTCAGGCCTCAGCACATGCCCTTACGCCCCACATAGTGTCTATGTCCATTGGTTATGCTTATATGAATGTATATAAGTCCTTTGGTTGATCCCATAGGCAACTAATCAGCAATTCTCTCTCATCATTGATGTTATTATCTCTCCCTCTCCCTTTCACTCTCTAAAATCAACAAAAATATTTTAAACAAAGTATATACATATATGCATAGGCCATGGATATAGACTATACTGTGGCAAGGGACTAGAAGCATTGGGGGCAGGGTAGAGGGAGAAAAGTGGGAAGGAGTATGGGGGAAATTGGGAACATCTGTAATATAGTCAGCAATCCTATGTAATAAAGAGCTAATATGCAAATGGTCATTGCGCCCTCGCACCCTTGCACCCTCACACTGGGGCCAGTGGACCTGAGGCTGGGCCAAGGGATATGAGGCTGTGTCCCCAGCCCCGGCAGGGCTTGACAGGGGACCTGAGGATGGGCTGAGAGACCTGAAGCTGTGTAGCCTTGAGGCCAGGCCTGGGGTCCTGAGGCTGCACCCCCAACCCAGTGGGGCATGTTGGGGACCTGAGTCCACGCCCCCCACCTCTCTCACTGGGGGACCTGTGGCAGGGCTGGGCTACCTGAGGCTTCTCCCCCAACCCCCGGTGCCTGTGCTGGGAGACCTGTGGCCATGCCCTCTGCCCTGGCACCATGGCCAGGGGACCTGAGGTCGCATTTCCTGCCCCAGTGCTGGGGCAGGGGGACCTGTGGCTGTGCCCCCACCTTGGCACTGGGGCCAGGGGACGTAAAGCTGCATCACTCACACCAACTCTGGGGCCAGAGTACCTGAGGCCGGGCAGGGGGACTTGAGGCCACGCCTGGGTGCCGGGACCTGGCGACCTGAGGCCGCATTTCCTGCCCTGGTGCTGGGGCCTGGGTACCTGAGGATGGGCCGGGGGACCTGAGGCTGTGCCCCTCGCCCTGACGCCAGGGCCAGAGGACCTGAGGCCAGGCTGGGGGACCTGAGGCCGCATCCTCTACCCCAGCACCGGGGTTGGGGGATCTGAGGATGCATTTCCCTCCCTGGCACTGGGGCCGAGGGACCTGAGGCCACACCCCCTGCCCTGTGGGGCTTGACAGGGTTGGGGCCGGCTGGGTCTGGGTCTCTCATGATTTTGAGACACGCACAGGTGGGCAGGAATTTGACTATGGGTCCCACAGCGTGCCACTGACTCTGACAGGAGGGAGATTTTCATATACATTTTACTAATTTTCTTTCATCTCTGGCACTTCTTTTATAAAGAGCAAATAGCAGTATTAAAATATTTCCTCTAATTAATTCCCTTTTAATGTGCACGTATTTTTTGCACCAGACCACTAGTCTATATGTATAAAAAGGCAGCTACCATAAAGGCCATAACGATCTAACAACCAGTCACTATGAAGCCCACTGTGGCCAGCTAACTGACCCGATCAGCGGGTGGGGTTGATGGCCAAACTCATGGCCCCTCCCCCTGCGGGCCCACCCCTGATCGGACTCTCCCACCCCGATTAAGAGCAGGGTGTGCCGGCCAAATTCCCCCACTCTTCCCCCTGGTCATACATGCCCCTGATCAGCCTGCCCCATCACGATAGGCCTGCAGCCCCTCCCCCTGGCCAGCCTTCCCCTGATAGCACCCTCCCCAACCCACTAGGGGATGGGGATGGGCGGTCAACCTCCTGCAGCTCCTCGCCCTGTCCAGCCCCAGCCCTGATCGCCACCCCACCTCAATAGGGGGTGGGGCTGACCGGCCAACCTCCTGCAGCTCGTCCCCGAAGCCAACCAGAACCCAGATGGGCCCCCACCACCCTG